CGCCAAGGTTGCATTGAGGAGGGTCTCAGCTAGCAAAAGGAAACCATGCTTGTTAGGTCCAACAGGGGGATCTAATATAGAGGTAGTTACCTAAACACTGGGAAGCTGAGCACAGAGATTATTAGCACACAGGAAGCAGTAAGCACTCAGTCTGGGAAACAGGGAAGTAGGGAATCATCAGAGTCTAGCATCATGGGGAGTGGGTACCTCAGGCTGGTGCATGGGACACCCTAGGTGGGCATCTGTGTGGCTGATGCTCGGACAGATGTTCAGGCTGAGGTCCCTGAGGAGTATGATTGATCCACATGCTCATTTGTTGTTGCTATTATATTATTATTTCAGCAGCAAGGTATAATTTGATCTTCTCTCTGGGGTTCCACCACTAACTGACCACAAGTTGTTGTTGTTGTTAAGTGCCATTGAATCAGTTCCAACTCATAGTGACCCTGTATAGAGTTTCCGAAGCTGTACATCTTTGTGGAAGCAGAAAGCCTCATCTTTCTCCTGCGGTGCAGCTGGTGTGCTGAACTGCCAATCTTGTGGTTTGCAGGAAGTCCAGTGCTTACAGTACAAAGCCACCATGCTCCCAAGTACCCACCCTTATCCTGGTATGGCATTGTGAGATAAAGTACTGGACTGCAAGGTCAGTTTGAACCAGAAGGTTGGTAGTTCAAACTCACCAGCAGCTCCTTGGAGACCCTCCACAGGGATGCTATGAGTCAGAACTGACTCGAAGGTACTTAGCAGCAAAAGCAACATGAGTATTTCAAGATCTCTGACTGACATTCCTGGGCTAAGGAGATGACTGGTCCAGTTTAGGACTATGCGTTCCAAACATGGCACCCCCTACCCTTCAGCAAGGACTCTAGATGGAAAAAATCTCAAACACCTCTGTATTGCTGTCTGTGTGAGGGATAAGACCTCATTCTTTGGACCAGCAGCACCAGTGTCCGATTACTTTATAAGCAAGGTAAGCAGGGCTTACTTTTGCCTATTTACTAATCTACAGTGGGAAATTTCACATTTTTTCACCACATCAAAGATTCTGCTTATCCTCTTCAAATTTACAGTCCCTGACCGGGCTACAGTATCCAGTAAGCAAGGTAAGCATGGGCTTATTTGTACTTAATTACTAATCTTAATAAAGACTTTCACATGTCTTACCACGTGTTTCACTTTGTGTAACCCAACAGACTTTGAAAAGGTTGTTCCCAGGATTACATAGATAGGCTGTCTTGTTTGCAGTATGTGATGCAGCTCTTTGCTCAGGAGAATAGAACACAATTTAGCAAAGCAGAAAGACAATGATGGTTCTCTCCATTTAAAGACAAGGAAATAAAGACTCAGAATTCGAAAACCAGCTAGTTGCCAAAGGTCAGCATTCATCTGTTCAGGCTTCCCACCTCTTTCCATCCCAGGACCTGCTCCTGAGCCCAGTCCTTGCAAAGAGGACTGCAACCTGTCTACTAGCCACTTAGCTCTTGACTTTAATGATCATGGAGCACCAAAAAGAGAGCTCTCTGTCACAGGAAGCAAATAAAAGTTGACTCCCTGTCAGAAACACTGTTGTCAAGAAATTACCCATAAGGGCCCTTGACTTAGCATATAATGCTCACTCAGAGACAGGCTCTCCCCAATAAGCCCATGTGGCCTGGGTATGTGGCAAGTACACTGTTGATTAGTAGGTATAATCATAACTGCTCTATGTATATCTATGAACTGTGGGTGGGCAGCAGCCTGTGAATAAGGTCAGTTGTCCTTTCTATCACCAGGCAGGCACAGTGCCCACAGGCTACCAGATGTGGCCTGTCAAAGCCAACTGGTATGTATCTCTCCTAGAACATACTTAGCTCCATCCTATCTTTGTTTTCCATGGGCAGGCCTGAACACCTTGTCATGGAGAGGCTTTCAGATTCAGAGGGCCCTTTCTGGACTGACCAAGTCTGGGAGAAATTGGCAGTCTTTTGGGACAGACAAGTCAGGATCACTAAGCCTGTTCTGCAAGTGGGGATACTGAGAGTCAACTAGGGTTGCAATTTGCCCAAGATCATGCAGATGACAAGAAGCAAAGATGACAAAGAGGGGTCATTAGCCTCCACTGAGAAGATAGAATGATCCTCATATACTCTCCACCTCTGCCTGGAAGACTTCCTGTGAGGTCCAGCTCAAATGCCCATCTGTTAGTGCCTCCTTGGACTGGCAGAGCTGGTACCTGCTATTCTGCTTGTTCTTTCACTGACCTTTTGACAAAACAGTTGAACCTTGGACTGAACATCTGTCTCACAATGTAGGTGCAAGGGTTAAGTAATATACATTAACAGCCATGTGCCAAAAATCTAGCCCTTTGTACAGTACACTGTGGTGTGCTGGTCAATGTTTAACCCTTGACTCTCTGGTTGAAAAGTTCTGACGTGTAGTTTTTGTCATGTGTAAATATTCTCAGCATTGCTGACTTGAAACTACAATGAGGCATCACTAAACACCCAGACAGGGAAAGATTTGCATGAGTTAGTTTCAACTGACTCCAGCACTCTACAACCAGCAGACAACAAGAGTTCACAAAGGTCTGCTGCGCTGATTAACAGGTGACTCGGCACATTTTCCCTTTAAATCATGATGGTCACATGAGCTACTTTGTGCCAGGGACTGGGGCCAACAGCCACGGGCATCCCTTCGTCTCTGACGGTTCCTAGCTTCCTGATGTGTGCCAGCTTGGGGGTCGGGAACTAAGATGATAATATCCTTGCCAACTTCCTGTGCCAGCTTCTGGCAAGTGACTTAACCCCTTGATACCTTAGTTTCCTTATGTGAAGATAGACCTACAAAGGGGTTGGTGGCTATGAAGTGTTAGCTTAGTACCTTGCATGGAGTGGTTGCTGTTAAGTGCTGTGTAGTTAATTTGAACTCATAGTGGCCCTGTATAGGGTTTCCAAAGCTATAAATCTTTGTGGAAGCAGAAAGCCTCATCTTTCTTCCCAGGAGTGCCTGGTGTGCTCCAACTGCCGGCCTTGTTGTTCACAGTCCAGTGTTTATCGTATAGAGCCCCTGCACTCCCTTGCATAGAGTAGGGCTTAGAAATTAGTAGTAATAGACAGTGGCACATGCCAGAAGTAAAGTCACTAGGTAAAGTACACAGATGACCCAGACAGGGATTGTCTGTGAGATTTCACATGAGTTGGGAAAGAGGGAGAAGGAGAGATCAGGAAAGACTCCATGGCAGAGGGGGCATCTGGCGTGTTGGGGAGAACACTGTGGGCCAAGGGAATCCCAGAAACCTCTCCACAGGCACCCAAGCTCTGTCCCCAGCCTTGAAGCTCTGGGACCTAGAACAGGTAGGAATCCTGTTGTGGCACTGTAGGATAAGCAATGGACCTCAAGGTTGGTGGTTCAAACTCACCAGCTGCCACTCATTATGCGTTGAAACAATTTCTTCCTTTGGAGTCGTGGGGTTTTCTCAGCTGTCAAATGGGCTTGATGATCAAGTACTCCCCTCCAGGGTTGTGGTGAGGCCTGTTTGTGAAATGAATAGAACAGGATATTCCAAATCCTGGTTAGGCTTTGTTGTTGTTGTTTAGTGCCGTCGAGTCGGTTCCGACCCATAGTGACCCTGTACAGGGTTTCCGAGGAGCCGCTGGTGAGCTTGAACCACCGACCTTGCAGTTCAAACAGTTTTGCAGTCTGGATTAGCCTGGGATTTAAGCCTCTGGAGCTCAGGCCTTCTCTCTGAGAGTAGGGGGATCTCCAGATCTGAGTCTTCACATTCTGCCTGCCCATTCTCTGCATCAGGCCATGACTGCCCTATCAGAGCTCTGAGGAAGGGTGCGGTCAGCCAAGTGAAGTGAGAGCCTGCTGCTTTCTCTCGGGACTGATGAGGCCCACTGCCGTACACTACCCACCTAGAATGCGGAGTGGAATGGAAAGCCGCGTCCTGAAGGGCCTGCTCCCCTTGGGGAGCTAGGATGCTGACTCCTCCCTGTCAGGAGTAGATCAAGGGCAGTGCTGGCGCGAGTCAGGGTAAATTCTCTCAGCGCTCACTGCGGCCCACGCCCTCCTGGCCGTGTGGCCTTCAGCAAGTGACCTCTCCTCTTTGAACCTGGGAAGGAGCTAAAACGCAGACTTGTACCTGGAGGAGCCAAGTGGCAGTAATCGAGTAAATGCGGTTCAAGCTCCCCAGTCGCTCTTCGAAAGCCCTATACAGGGTGGCGATGTGTCGGAAGCGACTCAAAGGCACTTAACAGCAGCAACAACTACGGCTTCATGGACCCACTCCCATCTTGCCCCTCGCTTTCCAACCGCCTAGCTCTGCCGAGATACTCAAAGATAGCCGAGTCCGCAGGTGGCGGCGCCCGCCCGCAGCTAGGTGGGCGTGGCAGCCCAGCTTTGCTGTGCTGGCTGAGGGCGGGGTAAGCGGAAGCCCCGCCTTCGGACTCGCAGGGGTTGGAGCCGGTGCGGGACTCAGAGAGCGGACAGCTGCGGAGCCAGAGCACGCGGGAGCTCGGCGCTCGCAACCCGCGTCCAAGGGAGGAGGCGGGGCGTGCCGCGACCCCGCGACCCCGCGACCCAGATACCTACCACAGCGACGCGGCGTCGCTTTGCAGCGCATCGCCAGTCCGACCGCGGCATGGACGGCTCCTGCTCACCCTGTGAGTGCTGGGCTCGCCCCCGCCCCGGCTGCCTTTGTGTGCGCGCCGCGCCGCCGCAGCCCCCTCCCCGCACCCTTCCTGCACTATTGGGCCCCGCATCCTTTGTGGAGCAGCCGCCGCCCGGCTGTGCGAGACCCGACGGAGCAGGGCGCCCTTCCCCCGGACTGGCCCCCCTCCCCCACGGGGCCTCTTAATCCGGCTACCACCCACCCGGGGTCCCCCAGGAACACCGCGAGCTGGGCCCCGGGCCTCCCCCTGCGGGCCGGCGGGCGGGCAGGGTGCTCTCTCTTCCCACGACTGCGGGCAGGTGTGGCCATCCGGCGCTCACGCAGGGCCTGTTTGTCCTTGTCCCCAGAGATGGATGGCGATGGCGGCCGCCGAGACGCCCCCGGGACGCTGATGGAGACCGGGCGCGGCGCTGGTGCGGCCGCGGGCATGGCGGAGCCGGCGGCAGGGCCGCGGGTGCGCGAGGCCCGGCCGGTACACCAGCGCTTTCTGCGGCGCAGCGTGGTGGAGTCGGACCAGGAGGAGCCACCAGGCCTGGAGGCGGCCGAGGCGCCGGGCGCTCAGCCCCCGCAACCGCTGCAGCGCCGTGTGCTGCTGCTGTGCAAGACGCGCCGCCTCATAGCTGAGCGCGCCAGGGGTGCTGGCCGCCCCGCGCCCGCCGCGCCACTCTTCGCCCCCGGCATCCCTGCGACCCCGGCCTCCGAGGCCGCGGATGTACAGGGCCCCAGCCCGGCCACCGCAGCTGCTCCCTCTGCGCCGACCCCCGACGGCAGCCCTCGGAAGGAGGAGGAGGCTGAGACGAAGGAGGCGGATACTGCAGAGGCGAAGCCGGATCCCGGGCGCACCCGGAGAGAAGAGCCCGAGGAAGAGGAGGACGACGAGGATGACCTCAAGGCCGTAGCAACCTCACTTGATGGCCGCTTTCTCAAGTTCGATATCGAGCTGGGCCGTGGCTCCTTCAAAACCGTCTACAAGGGTCTGGACACAGAGACCTGGGTGGAGGTAGCCTGGTGCGAGCTGCAGGTGAGGGGAGCTTGTGTCCTACCGTGTGCGCCCTTGGGCGCGTCCTTGTTTCTGTGCCCTGCTTGGGGGCGTTGGGAGCATCAGGGCAGTGGTGGTGGTGCAAATGGGACTCTGTGTGGGTAGGCAGCTGGGCCATTCTGCGTCTATCTGCAGGTGAAGTGGGTGAGCAGCCTCTGGCAGTGGTGACCAGAGGAGCTGTCTGGGTGTGTGTGTGGTGGGTTTCAGTGTGTTGCACAGTGCGGGGCCCACCAGAGAGTAGAACACCTTGTGCCTGCTGGCCTGTGCTCTCTTTTTGGTACCAGGTGGTCTGAAGGATTGTATTCTTGTAGTACCAGAATGGGTGCAGGAGGTCCTGACAGTTTCAGGTTGGTTTGGGACCTCGGAGCTGCCCTTAAATTAGCACCTCCCCTTGCACTTGCAGGGTGCATGTGCCCTAGCTGGGGAAGTCTGCAGGGGGCTTCATCTGACTTGGAAGGTTTCTGAGGTAGGGCCCTGGTTCTGGGTCCCTGGGCAGGATTCCTGATATCCTGAGGGCCTGTTTACAAAGTGGACTTGAGAGTGGTCCTAGAGCCCAGTCACCATACAGTGTGTGTGTGTGTGTGTGTGTGCGTGTGTGTGCGCGCGCTCTGCTCTGGGCATACATTTTTCATAACCTTGCCCTCACGTTGGCTATGTCAGCTGCAGCACTAGAAGATTATATAAACGGTAACCGGAGCTGCTTGGGTCAGCTTTGGGAGCCTGGGCAGTGCCTGTTACAGTGGGTGTTACGTGGGCCCTCCCTTCTTGTGAGAAGGCCGAGTGGTGGAGGTGTAAACCTACCCGGGACCTTGTAAAATTAGCTGGACCATCCAGGACTGACAGGAGCCTGGCAAGCCACAGCTCGGCAGCCCCAGGGCTCTGGGCACACTGCAACGGCCTGCCTTTTTTGGTTTGGTCATTGGATTCAGTGTCTGCATCCTTCAGCCTTGCAGTGGGGTTTGTGTGTGCATGTGTGAGTATGTGCACACATCTACAAGCCAGGCTAATTTGGTGGGCGTCAACCTGTTGTTAGCTCTTATCCCTAGACAAAGAGCTCCAGCACCTGCTCTGCCTGGGCCCTGTGGCTCTGTCGTGAGAACACAGACTTTTCATAATGCAGGTCAGTGGATCTCACACTGTGCCGGTGGGAGGAGGAGGACAGGAGAAGCTCCCCACCAACTCCAAAGGTCTAGATTCTGCTGGCCTTGATGGTGCAGGCTAGGTAGGTGGGTGGGTCAGGGGGCTGTGCTCTGGGCAGGTGGGGTACTGGAGATAGCATGGGGATGAGCTGGGTATCACTGCTTGCAGGGAGCTGAGAGGAGTAGGAGAGGAAACAACTGCAGGGAAGAAGGTGAGTCTTGATTGCAGAGATGGGCTGTGTGTGGCTTCCTTATGCCCTGCCTGTGCCAAAGTGACTCAGTGTGATGTCCTGCGCTCTAGTGATGCTTCAGCTGCTGGAGGACTGAGTGGGGCTGCTGCAGCAGGCCAGGTCTGAGTCAGAACTCTCAGTAGCCTGAGCCCTGTTGGTGCAGTTGAAGCTCGATAGGAGCATGTGACCGCCAAGGTTGTTAATTCCCATTCTCTTTAAGGAAGGGCAAGTGACTCTGTTTCTGGGGCATAAATCTGGGTGCATTGAGTAAAGCCTGGCCCATGTCCAGGGTCCTCTGGTGCCATGACTCTATGTGGGAGTGGGAAGGCCAAGCTGGCTTTGAGTCCACCTGAGAGTACTCCCTACATGACTGTTACCAGGAGTTCCAGGCCAGTGGGGAGACAGCCTCTGTTCTTCCCTGACAAGATAGTTCAGGTTGTGTTCACCCCAGATTGATGCGTACAATTTGGGGCAGCTCCTTTCTGCCTAGGTCACTCTGAGAGGACTTTCCATGAGAGGGAAACTGAATCAGCTTAAAAGAGCTTAGTCCCAAGTGCCTGCTGGGTGTCTGACTGGGCTAGAATGCCTCTGTTCTCATTCTTGTTTCATCCTCCTCATAAGCCATGATGGTGTTACTGTCCCCATGTAAGAACTGAGTATAGTGAGTGATAGAGTAACCTCCAAAAGTCGTATAACAAGGAGATGGTAGTGTGTACACATGCCAGCTTTGCAGTTCAAACTGACCTTAAGGTCGAGTGCTTATCCTACAGCACCACACTAGGACTCTATAAAATCAAATTCACCAAAAACCTCAGTTTCCCTATACAATTTCACTATGGGTCGGAACCGACTTGATGGCACTTAACAGCAATAACATATATACACACTTATATACATATATAAGGAGCTCTGGTAGGGTAGTGGTTACGAATCGGGTTGCGAACCGCAAGGTCAGAAGTTCAAAACTACCAGTTGTTCCACAGGAGATAGATAAGGCTTTCTGCTCCCGTAAAGATTTACAGCCTCGGAAACCCTGTACAGCCACCACCATATACATATATATACATATGTTGTTCACCGCAGCCTCCATGGTGTCTTTGAAAGTCAGATTTTTTGTAGTGGAGGGTAGGGAAGCTGATGGGGGAGTTTTCCGTGAAGGCTGATGGGGAGCCTTCCCATCACAGGGTCCCTCTTCTTTTGTCATAGCTGTTTTCTCTGACATCCAAAGTACCTCAGCTGGCAGCTTTGAAATCCTGGGTAAACCTGCCCTCTAAAGCCTGTTCACCTGGTGTGGGTCCTCTCAAACCTGTTCACCTGCTACCTTCTCCAGGCTTAGGGGCTGATGCTTTGAACACGTGCTGGATCCCTGAGTGACTGAGAAGTGCCTCATTTGGCAATTTCCCCAAGGTTCTATGCCAAGAGGAGAAAACACCTCATCCTGAATCTAATAAGTCTGGCTTAGAGAACATAACATACCTGTGTCTTCTAGTTTTCTTTGATAAATTAGTGTTGAAAGAACTTTGCAGGAAAGATTATTTGTTTCCCTCACACTGCAGGGCCATGAAATGTTTTACCAGTGAATTCTCATTTGGGGGGAAAACTCGTTATCTATACTTTATAAATTTTGTTTGTTTATGTTGTTTTGTTATTGAGAATATATACAGCGCAAAATATACACCAATTCAATATTTTCTACATGTACAATTCAGGGGTACTGATTACGTTCTTCAAGTTGTGTTCCATCCTCACTCTCCTTTCCTGAGTTGTTCCTCCCTCATTCATGTAAACTCACTGCCTCCTAAGATTCCTGTTGAATATTTTGAGTTTCTGTTGTTCAGCTTGATCTGTGTACCTAAAAACATAATGTTCAAGGCAGAACTTTTTTTATTAGTCAAGCCAAACTGTCACTTGGTTTTAAGATGACTTCAATTGATATTTGTGGTTTCATGTTTAAAAATTATCTCAGGGCAGTAGTTTTAGAGATTCAGCCACCTTCCATGACTCCAGAAAGTCTAGAGTTCATGAAAATGTGAAATTCTGTTCTGTATTTTACTCCTTTTGGTCAGGACTCATCTAGAGAATCTTTGATTTAAATGCTCAGTAATGGTAGCTGGTCACCATCCAATTCTTCTGGCCTCATGGCAAAGGAGGCAGTTATCCATAGAGGCAATTAGCCACACATTACATGTCCTCCTCCTATTTCTGATTCTCCTCCCTCTTCTGTTGCTCCAGGTAAGTAGAGACCAATTGTTGGTCACTTGCAAGCTTTTAAGACCCCAGGCATTACAAAACAAACTAGGAGGCAGAACAGAGGTGCTAAACAAGTTATTGAACGCATTATTAGGCCAATTAACTGGGACCTAATTGCTGCTGTTGTTAAGTGCTGTGGAGTCGGTTCAACCCACAGTGACCCTGTATAACCTCCAAAGTTAGGAACCAAATCCTATGAGGTGTTTGGTTGTATATAAGCAGCCTCAGCAGCTACTCCATTTTGTGGTCATTGTTGTAAATATATTCATTGCATAACTTGCCAATTAAACTTTTTACCAGGGCTTTGAATTGGTTTGAACTGATTCAGTCATGGCTCACAAAGTAAAAATGGAAAAGACCCAAAGTTTTAAAAATTGGGTAATTGGAATACTGACTGGAATGGGAAAAATTACGGTAGTGAGCCCTTTCAGGAGCCTAATAAGTGACATGGGACTGTGGAGAGTGACACACGTTCAAAGCGTGGTAGTTGGCTGCCATTTTTGAGCCAGGCACTGTTGTCAGCTTAGCTAGTCAAACAATTTGGTTGCTATGCAACCTACATGTTGCCCTTGTTTTCTAAGAGGTTGATTAAGTTTCTAGCAGGGCTTCAACCTGTAATTTTTCCTATTCCAGTTAGCATTATGGCTCACCCACATTTTAAATATTAGGCTCTTTTTGGGTCACTTCATCAGGCATGACTGAACCGGCTAAACTGGTTCGCAGCCCTACAACTTATTGACAATAATTATAATAATCAACTGCACAGCCTTACCCTTAATCAATGTGATTTCCCACAACCATTAAATCCCCCTTTCCCCCTCCCTCTCAGCTTCTAGTAACCACTAAGCAACTCTGGTGTCTATACGTTGCCCTTTCTTGTCTTTTTATATAAGTGGGGTCATACAATATTTGTCCTTTTGTGATTGGCTTATTTTGCTCAGCATAATGTCTTCAGGCCCCATTTATACGTCATCTAGACTTATTTTTTCTTACTAGTTGAATAGTATTCCATTGTATGTATGTAATACATTTTGTATATTCATTCATCTGTTGATGGACTTTTAGGTTGTTTCACCTTTTGACTACTGTGAATAGTGCTACAATGAACATTGATGTACAAGTCTCTGTTTGAGTCTCTCTTTTCAAATCTTTCGGGTATATACCTATGAGTGGAATTGATGGTCATGTGATCATTCTATTTTTAGTGTTTTTTTTGGTAACTGTCAGACTGTTTTCCCACAAAGTCATATTTTACATCCTCACCAGCAATGGACAGTAGTTTCAGATTCCCCACATCCTCCCCGACATTTGCTATTTTATGTTTTTTTAAAAAAACCTTAACCATTCTAGTTGGGGTGAGATG